AGATAGCCTGGATCTGAGTGCATATTATTAGCGAATAGCGCTCAGATCCCACACACATAGTTCAATCGCCATGGAGTCAAAGTTCTTACAGTCTTTCGGTATACGAATGACTCCATGGGAAGGCTATATGGGTTGTCTTTTCGTATGCTCCAAAACTCCAGAACGGCCGGTGTTCGTATGGTTTCGTGGAGGCAGCCAGGCGTTCCGTTGTTAAAGCGGTGTTCGGCAGAAAAAGTGTCAGTTTTTAGTTCCATAGAAATAGAGCCAAAAACCGCTGGGCTTTCGCTTGGTTTAAAATGGCTGCTGCCTCGTGGTCGACATACGAACGACGACCACCCTGATTTCGGTTTAATTGAGAAGTGTCTGCGGTTAACCACAACGTTCTAATTGGGATCAATAGGTTAACCAGCAGCACACTTCTCTCGTGGGTGGCCGTTCGTTCGGCAGGTTTGTTCGGGAAAAAGAGTAATTCGAATGGCTGGGCTATAGAAACCAGCCATCCATACTAACGGGAGACAAACAGACGAATGCAATTAAAATACAAGCAGACAGATGGTTCTGTCACACTTGCATTTAAAAACAACATTTTTTCACTGTTATAGATTGAATAGCAGTTAGTTTTCTCAAAGCGGATGTGTCAGGCTCACAGTGGATACTGTGCCCAGTGCCACCACTCACTGCCTGTTCTCTCAATAGCTTGCATTTAAAAACAAAAAACTTTTTTCACTGTTATAGATTGAGTAGCAGTTAGTTGTCTGCCACTGCTGCCAGCTTCTGTGTCAGGCTCACAGTGGATACTGTGCCCATTTGCCCAGTCAGTGCCACCAATCATATCTGGTGTCACAATAGCTTGCATTTAAAAACAAAAAACTTTTTTCACTGTTATAGATTGAATAGCAGTCAGCGTCCTTAAAGCGGGTGTGTCAGGCTCACAGTGGATACTGTGCCCAGTGCCACCACTCACTCACTGGTGTAACAATAGCTTGCATTTAAAAACAAAAACTTTTTTCACTGTTATAGATTGAATAGCAGTTAGTTTTCTCAAAGCGGATGTGTCAGGCTCACAGTGGATACTGTGCCCAGTGCCACCACTCACTCCCTGTTTTCTCAATAGCTTGCATTTAAAAACAAAAACCTTTTTTCACTGTTATAGATTGAATAGCAGTTAGTTGTCTGCCACTGCTGCCAGCTTCTGTGTCAGGCTCACAGTGGATACTGTGCCCATTTGCCCAGTCAGTGCCACCACTCATATCTGGTGTTACAAAAGCTTGCATTTAAAACCCAAAAACTTTTTTCACTGTTATAGATTGAATAGCAGTTGTCTCAAAGCGGGTGTGTTAGGCTCACAGTGGATACTGTGCCCAGTGCCACCACTCACTCACTGGTGTCACAATAGCTTGCATTTAAAAAACAAAAATTTTTTTTCACTCTTATAGATTGAATAGCAGTTGTCTGCCACTGCTGCCAGCTTCTTTGTCAGGCTCACAGTGTATACTGTGCCCATTTGCCAGTCAGTGCCACCACTCATATCTGGTGTCACAATAGCTTGCATTTAAAAACAAAAAACTTTTTTCACTGTGATAGATTGAATAGCAGTCAGTGTCCTTAAAGCGGATATGTCAGGCTCATAGTGGATACTGTGCCCAGTGCCACCATTCACTCCCTGTTCTCTCAATAGCTAGCATTTAAAAACAAAAACCTTTTTTCACTCTTATAGATTGAATAGCAGTTGTCTGCCACTGCTGCCAGCTTCTGTGTCAGGCTCACAGTGGATACTGTGCCCATTTGCCCAGTCAGTGCCACCACTCATATCTGGTGTCACAATAGCTTGCATTTAAAAACAAAAAACTTTTTTCACTGTTATAGATTGAATAGCAGTCAGTGTCCTTAAAGCGGGTGTGTTAGGCTCACAGTGGATACAGTGCCCAGTGCCACCACTCACTCACTGGTGTCACAATAGTGTGCATTTAAAAACCCAAAAACTTTTTTCACTGATATAGATTGAATAGCAGTTAGTTGTCTCAAAGTGGGTGTGTCAGGCTCACAGTGGATACTGTGCCCAGTGCCACCACTCACTCACTGGTGTCACAATAGCTTGCATTTAAAACAAAAAACTTTTTCGCATTTATAGATTGAATAGCAGTTAGTTGTCTCAAAGCAGATTTAATGAGCTCCACTGGATACTATTTTTAGTGCCACCACTCACTCACTGGTGTCACAATAGCGTGCATTTAAAACCAAAAACTTTTTCACTGTTATAGATTGAATAGCAGTTAGTTGTCTCTCAAAGCGGTGTGTATCTGATCTCATGGACACGCCCAGTTCACAGTGCCACTCATATCTGGTGTCACAATAGAATGCCTTTAAAAACAAAAGCTTTTTGCACAATGATTTGAATAGCAGTCAGTTGTCTCAAAGTTTGTGTCAGGTTCACGAGTGGATGCTGTGCTTACGCACTTGCCCAGTGCCACCACTCACTCACTGGTGTCACAATGGCTTGCATTTAAAACCAAAAAACTTTTTTCACTGTTATAGATTGAATAGCAGTTAGTTGTCTCAAAGCGGGTGTGTCAGGCTCACAGTGGATACTGTGCCCAGTGCCACCACTCACTCACTGGTGTCACAATAGCGTGCATTTAAAAACCAAAAAACTTTTTCACTGTTATAGATTGAATAGCAGTTAGTTGTCTGCCAGCGGGTGTGTCAGGCTCACAGTGGATACTGTGCCCAGTGCCACCACTCACTCACTGGTGTCACAATAGCGTGCATTTAAAACCAAAAAACTTTTTTCACTGTTATAGATTGAATAGCAGTTAGTTGTCTCAAAGCGGGTGTGTCAGGCTCACAGTGGATACTGTGCCAGTTCACAGTGCCACTCCTATCTGGTGGCACATTTGATTGCATGCGCAGTGCCCCACATTTGAAGAAGAGGACCGACCAAGCATCTTTTTCCATGTCCCGGTTCGTAAAATCGATGCCATATACACGTCCCCTTATAGGGGACGTAACAGGGATTAAACTGATAAGAATAGTACTACTTAACACACCACTCCTATCTGTTGGCATATTAGATTGCACGCGCAGTGCCCCAAATTTGTTGTGATCTGTGAGTAAGGTATACGGTTGTCCATACAAGTAAGGTTGCAGCTTTTTGAGGGCCCACACCACCGCCAGGCACTCCTTTTCAATGGCAGTGTATCTACTTCCCTGGTCAAAAGTTTCCGGCTTAGATAAGCCCCGGGTTGCTCGCTGCCATCTGCTCCGACTTGGCTCAGTACTGCTCCCAATCCAAACATAGAAGCGTCTGTATGGACGAGAAAGCGTTTAGTTGGATCAGGAGCAGAAAGTACAGGTGATTTAATGAGCGCCGTCTTGAGCTGCTGGAAGGCCTGTTCACACTCTGGGGCCCATACTACTATCTTGGGGAGGTTTTTACACGTTCCTATATGGCACTTACTGGGCTTTAGGGTCAGTCCGGCCTCCCTAATCCGGTCTAGTACAGCTCCTATGTGGGTCAGGTGTTCGGGCCAGTAGCAGCTAAAAATGGCTATATCATCCAAGTAGGCGCAGGCATACTCCTGAAACCCATCCAGTAGGCGATCTACCATCCTCTGAAAGTTAGCCGGGGCATTCTTCATCCCGAATGGCATGACCTTAAACTGATACAGGCCAAACGAGGTGACAAATGCTGACTTGTAGATGGTGTCCTCGGCTAATGGAATTTGCCTGTACCCCTTGCACAGATCTATTGTGGTGTGGTACTGGCCTCTGGCAATTTTGTCTAGGAGCTCGTCTATCCGAGGCATAGGGTAGGCGTCTGAGGTTGTTTTATCGTTTAGCCTTCGATAGTCTACACAGAAACGGGTCGTGCCATCCCGTTTCGGTACTAGTACTACCGGGGAGGCCCAGGGGCTGTCAGTGTTCTATCACCCCTAACTGCATCATTTCCTCAATTTCTTTCTGCATATTTTCTTTAACTGCTTCGGTTATGCGATAGGTAGGTTTGGCAAAGGGGGGTCTGGTCTAGGGTTTCAACTTTGTGAGTGGTTAACGGACTATACCCAGGTAGGTTGGAAAACGTGGCCCCCTTGTCCTGGATTAGTCTTTGGACCTGGGTTCGCTCCTGGGGTCTAACCGTTCTCCTAACTGTACTTCTCCCAGGTCTCCGCTCTGGCCCTCTAGGTCTAGGAGATCTGGGAGTGGCAAATTATCATAATCTTCAGTGGCAGGTGCACAGATCGCGGTTACCTCTTCCATGCGCTCGTGGTATGGCTTGAGCATGTTCACATGGAGCATGCGCTTGCCTCCCGTGCCTGTGACCGCACCGATCACAAAGGTGGTATCACAAACCTGCTCTACCACCTTGTATGGGCCCTGCCAGGAAGCCTGCAACTTGTCCTTGTGGACAGTGTCAATCCATATCTGCCAAGTGACCCTATGTAGGGGGAACAGTCTCTATTCTGCTCTGTGTCAGTGTGTATCATGGTCTCTGAGGACAGGTGTCAATCCATATCTGCCAAGTGACCCTATGTAGGGGGAACAGTCTCTATTCTGCTCTGTGTCAGTGTGTATCATGGTCTCTGAGGACAGGTGTCAATCCATATCTGCCAAGTGACCCTATGTAGGAGGAACAGTCTCTATTCTGCTCTGTGTCAGTGTGTATCAGGGTCTCTGAGGACAGGTGTCAATCCATATCTGCCAAGTGACCCTATGTAGGAGGAACAGTCTCTATTCTGCTCTGTGTCAGTGTGTATCATGGTCTCTGAGGACAGGTGTCAATCCATATCTGCCAAGTGACCCTATGTAGGGGGAACAGTCTCTATTCTGCTCTGTGTCAGTGTGTATCAGGGACCCTTAGGACAGGTGTCAATCCATATCTGCCAAGTAACCATATGTAGGGGAACAGTCCCTATTCTCCTCTGTGTCAGTGTGTATCATGGTCTCTGAGGAAAGGTGTCAATCCATATCTGCCAAGTGACCCTATGTAAAGGGGGAACAGTCCCTATTCTGCTCTGTCATTGTGTATCAGGGATCCTTAGGACAGGTGTCAATCCAGATCTGCCAAGTGACCCTATGTAGGGGGAACAGTCTCTATTCTGCTCTGTGTCAGTGTGTTGACAGGTGTCAATCCATATCTGCCAAGTGACCCTATGTAGGGGGAACAGTCCCTATTCTGCCCTGTGTCAGTGTGTATCAGGGTCTCTGAGGACAGGTGTGAATCCATATGTCAAGGTATCAATATGTCATATGTCAGGTGTCAATCCATATCCATTGTGATTTAGGAATGTTTGGTGATTTATGCCCTTTATGGATTAAGACCAGACTCTGCATCAACTGTGTAATTTTCCATATGACTATTGCCATGGATCCCCCTCCGGCATGCCACAGTCCAGGTGTTAGTCCCCTTGAAACAACTTTTCCATCACTATTGTGGCCAGAAAGAGTCCCTGTGTGTTTTAAAATTCGCCTGCCCATTGAAGTCTATGGCGGTTCGCCCGGTTCGCCGGTTCGCGAACATTTGCGGAAGTTCGCGTTCGCCGTTCGCGAACCGAAAATTTCGGGTTCGCGACATCACTAGTGACAGCCTGTACTTGCTGCTACATATGCTTTTGAAAGGTGTAGATCCATCTTTTTGTCCATTGGGTGCCTGAATGAGCCTGCATTGTCGACTGGTGTGCTTTGCCAGTCTAACTACTGCAGCATCCACCTTTGGTGCATTGTCGCAGTGGCAGGAGTTAGATTTCCCAAATGGGTAGAGGTCTGTATTGGACCATTCATCCTTGATCAATTCTTTAATAGTGTCATGTACCGGAAATGTTGCTCTTTTTCTCCTTAAGTCGGAGAAGTAACGATTAGAACTTGATGGCTCCTCTCTTGCTGTTTCTTTAAGACTCAATGATTTTCGGACCTTGGATATAAGATGATAAAAGAATTTCTCTTGGTATGACTCCATATCAATGGATTCATCAGATGAATAATCCAAAGGGTCATTGAACCTGGGTCTTTTGGTTCTTGTGCCTGCTTCTTTAATACCTTGAGAAACTGCTTGCTTTATAAACTGCATAATATCAGAGGAAGGATTAGATGTTCCGGCTGCTTCCGATAAACATTCTGCACATAAACGTTTGCCTTCCAGAGGTCTTTTATCACACCGATTCTTTTTTGGTGATTTTCCTTTGGATGATCTCACCGTTTTCTGTCCCGTAGAACTATCATGACAGGGAAACAATCTTTTGTTTTTATTTTTAACTTATTTGACATAAATAATTGAAGGGATGACATGGCTTACCTATAGCTCTTTGAATGTGACCTATTTTAATATCCAGAGGAGTCTGAATCAGAAGAGATTGTTACCCTTTTTTTTCTCCATATTGGTATGATAGAATAACTAAGAAAAAGGAATTAATCAGTATGCAAAAGAAGAGGAACGGTAAAAAAATTTTTTTGAATTTGTATATACCTTTAAAAAAGGAAACATACATTGAGAATGAAGAGAATTGTAAAATTCAAAACTGCTCAAATTTGAACAAAACTGCTGCTCTGGAATGTCCTGGGATCTGAACTGGACAACAGGTAATGTAAAATTCAATTTTGCCGCTTAAATAGGCATGTGACGTCATTCGTGACCTCACCGATATTCCTTGCACATGCTCAGATCGAAACGCTGCAGTTTTGGCCATTGGGCATGCGCGAAAAACGGAGACCGGCAAGATGAAACCCAAAGGTAATCCCTGTAATTTACTACCTTGCGGGTGCTTGATTTCGTTGTACGCGAACATTTGAGACAGGGAAATAATAGATTTAGCTCCCCTTTTTAATTGGGATGATATTAGATACCGTGTGCATGCCCAAATCTCGTTCGCATGCGCGAATCTCGTGTGCATGCGCGGAACAAAAACTAGGACGCCGAAAAGATACTTTTTAAACTTTCAGACATCCTTTTGTACGGATGGAAAAATGTGAAAGGAATGAAGGTAAATAGACAGGATGGAGAACCCACATATAGAGGCATACAAAATACATAATATAAAAGTATTTTATGTATACATACATGTAGGTCTTCAATATGGAGAAATATAAAGATATTTCCAGGATAAAATCTTCTAGAATAAAATCTTATTGCCACTTCCTGCTACCTTTTGGTCACTGCAGGGAGTAAGATCTTTGGTATTTTTTCTCTTGCTACCCCTAGGGTCACAGCAAGTAAACCCCCAGTCACTAAGGGGGTATCTTCAGGGGGACACCTTTGCGCAGGCCGGATACTGAAGCTTCCCAAGGAAGAGAGGCTGAACTCCCTTGGGACAGAAGGTAAAGACCCTCAGGTAAGCCAAAAAGAAAAACTGATTATAGTCCTGAAATATACTAATTTGGTCCTATAGAGATAGGACAGGAACTAAAGACTGAGGGAGGAGGGGATATTTTTACCTTTCTTTTAATTGGTTCCTGTCTAATTAGAGATAGGGGAGGAGCTACCCATTGGTGTGCTGCCATGGATATGGCCAGGAAATATAGATGTAAAAAACAGATAAAATTTGTATCTTGAGATACCTTTTTTTTTTTTTTATTGGACTAACAAGCGAATGACAAGCTTTCGGGAGAACCTCCCTTTCTCAAGTCTGAAGCATTTCTGAGCAAGACAACACATAGAATTCAAAGTTGAGTTGTGATACAGGGGTTAAAGTGACATGAGTGCATCATAACCCCTGTATCACAACTCAACTTTGAATTCTATGTGTCGTCTTGCTCAAAAATAAATCTGCCATCCTGAAGGAGGCTCCAGATGTGAGCCGAAACGTTGATGTTCATTTTTTTTATTTTGTATATGAATTAAAAGTTAAATTTTACTTTACAAAGACCCTGGAGTGCATTCCGTTTTTTGGATATATATATATATTATTCCATTTGGTCCCTGCACACACTCTATCAATTATTTCAAACACCGGGTGCATTCCAGCCAAAGTCAAATATCATACAAATTAGTAAATGAAGGCTTGCACTCACGGTCTTTTTCTTGTATAAAAGTTTTCTTTCTTTATTCCCCCTATCTCTAAGCTAAACGTATATGTTAAGATCCTTTAACCTTTCCTTGTCAGTTTTATCCTTATGAACCAGTTTAGTAGCTCTTCTCTCAAGTATCAATATCCTTCTGGAGATACGGTCTCCAGTACTGCATACAATACTCCAAGTGAGGTCTCACCAGTGTTCTGTACAATGGCATGAACACTTCACTCTTTCTACTGTTAATACCTTTCCCTATACAACCAATTGCAGAAGGTGTAGGCCCTGGGGAGATAGCGTAGCTAAGCGGACAAGGGCACATGTAGGAGTGTGGGGATAGATGCATGGGATTGGTTGGAAAAGAGTGTGTGGGTGGGATTATGTTCTGTGTAAGTTAGTGTGGGGGAGGTCTTACCTCAGTGCCACTTGGGATTCGGGCCAGCAAACAGCTTCCTGTCCTCCAGCTCCTGTTTGCCTGGGCCTGCAGATTGACACAGCTTGAGGGATGGAGGTTGAGGCGATCCTGGCGTCCCTCAGGGCTGCTGCAGCGTGGATGGTGGCCGGCACCTGTGGAGGCAATTTACAAGCATTACTGGAGGTATGGCTGCCGGTGTGGGCACCCCCCGTGGCCTACCCTCCCCCTGGAGCACCCCCTGCGGTCTCCCCTGCTGCCTCCCATGCGGTCCCTGCCCCTGGGGGCCGCACCAGCACTGGCAGGCATTCCCGCCCGCCTGCCAGGCTGTCTCTGGATCCTACCCCTCGGGCCCGGTTGAGGAGCAGGAGCCCGGGCCCGGGGCACCGCAGGGGCCGCGTGTCTGGGGGTCCAGGCACGCGACCTACTACTGGGGGTCGAGATTTGAGGCCTACTGCAGCTGCCACTGCCGCGTGGCCTACTACCTCCATGGCCGCCCGGCCTGCTACTTCCAGGCAAGGGATGCGGCCTGCAACTGCCGCGCGGCCTATGCAAGTTCCCCCCTCCACACCATCCGCCCGGCAACTGTGCAGGTCCCCCGTGGCCGGCGGGGAGGTGAGTGGGCCATCGCGGGCCGCGCGGGGTACCTTGTACCGCTGTGAGGGTCTGGGGGGTCCCCTTGCCCATCGGGAGCCTCCTCTGCAAGTGAGGAAGGCTCCCAGGGCTCTGTCTCCCCTTCCCTCCCTATTAGGCTGACTTTATTTTCTTTTCTTCCTGGGGGCCCAGCTTACCCTTGCCTGGGCCCACTCTGGTCCCCCCTCCTCTTGCCCGTTTTTCTCCCCCCCTCTCTGCATCCGCCCCCCCTCCTGCTCTAATCCTCCCCCCGCTCTCTATCCCTCCCCATCTGCATCCTCTCGGTTCTCTCTCCCCCCCCTCTACCTTGCCCTCTAGCTTGCCTGAACCCTCCTCCCCCACCTCCCCCCTTGCAGGACACTTACCTCGGCCATCTCCTCTGGGGCGTGGGCTCATCTTCTCTGCTGCTTCTTCTCAGCATGCTGCTGCAGTTCATGGACCCGTCCAGCAGGTGGCGCCTGGATCACAGCTGATGTCCTCTGTGGATGCTGGAACTGGTGTTTCTTTGCCTCAGCCTTCTGTGAGCGCAGTGCCGGGCTTGGATCGCCAGGCTGCGTCCGGTGAGTACATTCCCCCCCCCTTATTTTAGCGCTTCGCGTGCGTACATTCTTTCTTCCTTTCTTCCTGGAAAAAAAACAAAAAACAGAAAAAGAAAGAATAAAAAAAAAAAAATTGATACAAACAGAGAAAAAATTACAGGACAGAAATAAAATGTAAATTACCTATTGGACAAAAAAAAAAAAAAAGGAATCCAACGTCAAGTACAAGGGGGAGAATAAATAATAAAAAAAAATATGAGATAGAATCCAAAATAAAACAAAATTTAGGTACCCCCCTCCGTTTTCAGTATGTATCATACATTTAGGTACGCTTTCCCGCAGCGTCTGGCGCAGCTGATAGCGCCGGCGATGCCTCCCAGGTTCACGTGACTCTGGGTGCTGCTGAGCTCATGTGGCCCGCTTGGCTTGTGCGTAACACTAGGGAGCAGATGGAGAATGGGTTTTTATTGCAGGTATGTTCCCTCCTGCCACGGTTGTCCCTTAACTAAAGGGGACATTAGGGGCTACGGGAGGGTCGTGGGGAGCATGCTGTGGTCGGATACACCCCAGGGCGCATATTCGGATGCACCCCGGTTTCTGGATAGCATGGTCGGGGACAGGGCTCCCCGAGTCTGCGCTGCGTGGTTCTG